GAATGCCGCTTAGGTAGTCCAATACATAAAATATGCCGTCGCTTCGTTTGTGTTATTTAAACTTTTAATTAAATCACAATCAGTTACTTTTTAGACATTACGGTGTGAAGACAAGTTCGTGATTTTTATTTTTTATTCTCGATGTCATTACTTTCCTTTTTTATAATAAAAGGAAAAATATAGTGAACAAAAATTTCGGGTAACTTTTAATAGCGATATATTATGAACATGGAACTGAGGTCTAGTGATCTCGCAATCGCTTTGATTGCACCGTTTGTAACGATCGAGATATAATAATAATAGGTCTTTACCGATGAAATTACCGCTCTTCTGGCCATTTCAAACAAAAAAAAAATTGATTGGCTATGAATTCTAAATTCAAATTTTGTGTCTTTTGTTTATTCATTAGCTTCGTATTTTCATTACATTTGAACAGTTGTTGCTCTTCTGGCCATTTCAAACAAAAAAAAAATTGATTGGCTATGAATTCTAAATTCAAATTTTGTGTCTTTTGTTTATTCATTAGCTTCGTATTTTCATTACATTTGAACAGTTGTTGTCTTAATGGATACTTCAAAAATTCGTGTAATGATATAATATGAGTTGTTAAAAAAAGATCCTATATGTTACGTCGGTTAAATAACGAAAATCAACAAATTACAATCTTCTTAGATTAGTTTCTCTCTCATTCGGCTCTAAGTAATATTTACAAATATTTCCAATCGTATTAGTGAATTGACAACAACTCAACTTGAACTGCTTTGCGAATGGCAAGGAATACCGTTGATAGAAGATTTTGCCGATTGAGTTACAGTTCGAATTTATCCCACTGTCAGACAAGTAGACGCTGCACACATGATAGCCGAGAACGCAAAAATAGCGTATTAATTGTGTAAATACGAGTACGCTGTTTTCGCGTTCTCAGCTATACTGAATGTATCAGCTTAACGTTTTCTAGTGCACAGACGTCATGTTATGTTGTGTAATTGCGAAAAACAATGCATATTTACGTGATAGCAGTGGTTGATTGAAGTCATTTTTGAAGAACTCCGTTGTCTATCTCCAAAATTCATCATCAGATCACATGTATTATGAATATATCATCAGATGTATATGAAATTCAAACCGGACCATTTAGGAAAAAAACCCTTTCGAACAGACAAATAATTTTGCAAATTAATAATAATGCAAGTTATGGCCGAAAATACGTAAAAAAACATCCGAAGTGATAACCTCCTCTTTTTCTAAGTCGGCTAAAATACGCGTCGATTTGACAACCTCCTCCTTCTTTTCCTAAATACGATTAAAATGATTAATACTTCTAGTTTCTAGCGCTCACTCTGTTGTCTCCAGAGAAATCAATGATCGATATCGATAAGTCTCAAGATCAAATAACCGTATTTTACTAACGCAAAACAAAACCGAATGTAAATATCTCGCTCTGTATTCATGTTATAATTGATTCAGGAGATCCCTACGTATCTCCGGAGCTCAAGATCCAATAACAATATAATTATATGGGACCACATGGGAAGCACCAGCTTTGAAGTAAAAAAAGAATCATCAAAATCGGTTCACTCAGGCACAAGTTCTGAGGTAACAAACATTTAAAAAAAAAAACAGTCGAATTGAGAAGCTCCTCCTTTTGAAGTCGGTTAAAATGACATTCTGAAAAATAGTGTCGCCCATAAAATCTTATTAAAGATAAATAGTGTGCCAATGACATATAACATAACAACATAATTAAAATATAGGCAGTTAATAGTAATTCTTAAATAGAAAGTAAACCATACTATGATATACATTTGTTTAATGTGTAATAATGACGATACAGTAAGATTGTACTTTACAGTAAACATGGTTGGAATGAATACTTCTGACTGATTTATTCGGCTTTCGATGAAGTGTCGAAACTTTTTTAACTATCATTTACACAACGTTTGACAATGTATGGAGCAAAGGTTATGTTCCTGTATAGGTTCCAAGGAATATAACATTATTTTTATATAATATGTAGTAACAATATGGTCTATTCGCCTCAAAAATTTTAGGCTCACTGCTAATAGCTGAAGCAGTAGCGATGACGACAGCTGAAATAAATATGGAAACAATCAATAAAATCATGTAAAAGAATATTAATAAAAAGCCACACACAAATAACCACACACTTGTGTAAATTTCCTCCGATTTGGGTATCGGTATAAGGAACACACTCTTAAATTTAATACTTTTATAACAAGTTACGTTGTCGCTGATTTATATTTTGTTATAAGCTTTAACTCTCTCAAGTAAAGAATGACTTTGGGTGGTAATAAATTGTATTAGACAGAGTTGAATAGATACTACAGTAAATTACCGCTTGTCAATGATTGTATATTTCAATTATTATATGTATAAAAATATATTTCGAAAATTTAATAATAATTTCTTATGACTTTTTCAAATAATTTTGCAGTTAGTGTTAAAATTTCAAGTTAGGATTAAATAAAAAAGAGTCAGGGTTGTTAAAGTAGACAATAATCATAATTTAAACCCGTACATCTGTACCCTTCACTGTCACTTTGCTATCATTAAAATTTCCTTGAGTAATAAAACTAAGCAGACACCTTATTATGTGTTTACACATACCAGTAGCTGCGGCTGCCTCTGAACCCTGTTCATTGATAATAATCTCCGCCTTTTGTATAACGTTAGATACGTAGAGTGGCTCAGGCTTTTTTAAAATTCCACTTAGGTCTGTATTGTTTTCTACGAATAGCTCACTGAGATTTGCCTAGAAATTATCTATATTCTACATTTAATGCTTAATTAAGCATATATATTTTAATGTGAGGTATACGTACTCTCAAAAAAATTTCTTTTAAATTCATTGTCGTCGAAGTCCGAATTGAAGGTACATAAACTCTCACTTTAACGAATCTCAGATCCTCAATTATTCTTTTCAACACACTAGAGTCTTCGAGTTGTTTCAATAGGCCTTCTAAAGAGTAATCATCGCTTGAAGTTGGCAGAACACATAGAAACGTGTAATCTTTGTCTTTATAAAACATCTGTAAGGCCTGTAATTAAATACATATTTTACGATATGATTTGACTTTCTTAATACAAAAATATGTTAAAGAAAACCCACCTGACTGGGTTTTCCTTAACATAATTGATTGACTTAAAAAATAATTAATAAACTATTTTATACCTTGAATTGAGCATTTTCTGTATATCCAAAGGTTTGTTCTTGAAACATCATATTAACTTTTACTGTTTTATTTTGTGGCATATAAAAATCCTTTTGTTGTGTGTTATCTGGATTGAACGGCCGCAGCCAGTTACCCTACAATAATTTATAATAAATATTATCCTTTAATTTTGTAACAAATAGGCAATTACTTCATTTTACCTTAAAATAAATGGCGTTAACTAAGACCAAACGCGTCAATGCACTTAATACGCTTGGGGAAATGAGTGTGGGTATTAGACCATGTGTTTGTACTTTCACCTGTAAAAAAGGTATTTATATTCAAACACTAATAAAAAAAGTAAAGACGTGTCATTATTGAAGCATTTTCAATAATTACAAAACACAACATTTTAAATGTTGTATTTATAACACATACCCAGCTGTTAATTATTTCTGCAGCTTTATCATTTTGGCTAAAATCCAAATTTTCGGCTTGTGAGTCGAAGAAGCGACTTGTCACATCTACGAATTCGGGGTTTAAATCGAACTGTTTATTAGCATATGCTTTTTGCCCTAATAATAATGTCACGTTCTTTGGTAATTTCAAATCATCCAACAGCTTTCTAAATCCTTCTAAAATCTGTGAAATATTTTAAGTATGTTAAAGGAGACAATGTCACATCACTAATTCTAACCTTCTTGTGGTAAGCTCGAAAAATTGCCAACCAGACATAAAGATAACTGCTAAGAGGAACTAGGCATAGCGAGTCATCCGGCGGTTCTGCTAGACAAATCCCCACAAGTGATACTCCACGTCACCAATTATTTCAATGTCGCCTACGAGAATGGCGAAATTAACATTAAGTAAGGCGGGTCTCACCGCCGTCTTGCCCCCAAGTCACCGATTTATATGGTCAAAGGCCATCGGGGTCAGGTTCCGTACCTGACCTAGATGGCCCATAGGTAACATTCGCTTCCACTTGATAGCGCAGGCATGAGCACATGCAAGACCCTACACTGCAGCAAGGGCCCCAATAAGCTATAAGGATCTAGCTTTACCTCGAGTTCTGCGTTCAATGAAACTGTTAGAGTTTGAGGCTTGAAAAAAATAACATCAGATGAAGGAAAGTAATTTTGCCACTTAACTCAAAAATGCTATTTAAATTTTTTTTTATCGTGTCAACTTCGATTTTCAAAGGATGGAGTCTTAGTAAGAAATTTTAACGGGACCAGCGTAGCTATTGAAGTCCGGCAGCTTTGATTTGCTTATATTAACTATATGTGGTAGGGCTACGCAGCAGCCTCGGTTGTTGCACGAATGGGCAGGCTCGTCCGGGTAAGTACCACGACCTCACAGAAGATCGGCGTAAAGTGGAAGTATAATACTTTCGCGTTTCGTCTGGTGAGGTAGCCGGAGCTAAATTTTCAAAAGGTTGTTAACGCATCTGCAACCCTCGGGTGTAGCAGATGTCCATGGGCGGCGGTAGCATTCAGGTGAATTGCCTGCTCGCTTGGCAACTTGTAACATTAAAAAAATATTTTAAAAAACCCAAGCCGGTTTTGGTACACAACCGTATTCCCTAATGTTTTATTTATATTTTTCCTTCAATAGCCTCGCAATTTAAACTTGCAGATCTCAAACTACGGACACAATAAAAAACGTTTGACGTGAAGATGGTTAACAAAGGTTTCAATTTAAAAACTAACATAAGAAAATAAAAAAAAAAATTTAATACCTCAGTCTTACTATCAACGTTAAAAAATTTTAAGAGTTGATCAGAAGATGTCCCATTTGCAAATGGAGCGATTTGTCCAAGAGTGCTCATAGCTGAAAACGGTGACGCTACGAAGCTTTTTTCCGTGTACTAAACATAAGAAAATACATAAATTACTGGATACATATTTTTATTGTTATAAACTAAACGATTAATCATATCAATATGGTGCATCATTTAAAAAATTTTAAACATCACCTATAGATAAAGATTTTTTACCAATAATAATAATGACACAAAAACTACTTTTAAGAAAGAAAGAAAGAAAATACATTTATTTACCAAAAAAAAAGTTTAAAATAGTTAATATTTAATTCAAACTTTATGTAATTTTTCACATACTTTTAAGAATTGTCCGCTGAAATCTGCATTGGCTTGCCATATTTTATCTGCAGCAATATCGGCAGCATCCTTATTATTTGACGGTGATATATCAGCTGTCGTTGTGGTTTTGGGAGTAGTCGTCCCTATATGAGGTAAATTAATTAATTTTTAATAAAGTCGTTGTAATAATAAATTTAGAAAACCTAACATTTTAAACGTAATCAGAATACTTTTCAGTCTGGTCAAAATTGATACAAATGTTGGAAATATTATTATAAATAAAATATTGAAACTATCTATGCAAAAAAAATATCACTAGAAACACGTTCACTAATGTACGTTTTTATATCTTTCAGCCAAACGGGTATCTGACGTGTGGCGTGTCCGACTCGCACTTGGCCGGTTTTTTAAAACAGAATTCTACTTTGGTAAATACATAAAAACGCTTGCTTGCCAACGTTGACCCCGTTTAAAATTTTGCACATTATTCTCGATAAGAACTTTTCATATTTCATTTAAATTCGTTATTCCAGAATTCTGTTAATTTTAAGAATAAACCACTGCGAAATAGTAATTAATTGAGTTAAATTGAACTTACAGTCCGAATTGATATTCAGTCTGTTACCACCGCTTAGAGCAACAAAACATTATTCATTGTACCCCTTACAATAACTACTAGATTTTTGCAGTAATTTTATGTTCAACAGATTTGACATTACTATTCTTTTAGTTAATATTGTGTGTTAATTCATATACAACCAGCTATCGATATAGGGTTCCATGTGTACATACTCTACCTTCTCAATGTTTAAATCTATATTTACCTTCTACACCTATGTTGCGGACGCACTTTCCTTTGCTAATTCTTACATAATCGTTAAAACATTGACATCCAACAGTGCACGGATAATTGTCCGCAGTGTCGGTTGTGACCGCACAGTTCTCGTAATATTCATTTTGACCTCTACAGTTTGTATCTGTTGAAAATTAAATTAATAAAAAGGAAGATTGTCTAAAACTTCTCTCTCATCTCTCTCTCTCTCTCTCTCTCTTATCTCTATGCTTTAAAGTAGCATTACTAATTAAGCCATCATTTTCTTTGGAAATAAAATTTAAGAACCTGTAAGAATTATCTTAGATACAGACTCATAATAACAAAATGCATTTCAATTTAATTATGAATGGAAATATTTAATTTTTTAAAAATTTAATTTTTAAAAATATTGTTCAACATTACTTACTATTTTTTTCTGGGCAATAATTGATTGGAACACAATCTCCATCGTTATTTCGCAAATAGCCATCCTTACAAACGCACCCTTCTAAACAATATTCTTCGGCTATGTCGATACAAAGGTCAGGCCATCGTAGTTGCGAACAGTTGCGCCTGCCGCAACCACCGTTAACACAATCAGAATAAAATTCGTTCGGGCCACACGCTGAAAAAAATCAAGTGTTCTCTATGCAGTGTGATATTTCTAAAAGTTTATTTTCACTGCCTGTTGCCGAAACGAACTAATGTCGGAAATTTTAATGATTACGTCTGATACTTATCAATCGCATGTGTCAGGTACTTCTACACCACACGTTTAATTTAGATTTTTTTTTTGTTAGGTAATTAAACGTATTGTTTTTTTTTTATAATGAACGTGCTTATTCCGCTTGTCCGAACATTGCATTGAGCGGTCGGCACTTCAGTTCTTTGTAAATTATCGTAAGCTAGCAATTTAAATTGAACTCACAGGGCAAATTATTCAACTTTTAAATTTAATGCTTATTTCAGCACTTAAGTTAAAAAGAAAAATTGCAAAGATAAAACTGTTGAAATATTTTGCGACAGTTTAATTCACATATTTCAAGTAATATAAATTAATATTCAACAGATATCACATAACTATCGTTTTAACTAAAAGTTGTGTCTTAATCCATTTTCAACCAATCATTATCGATATCAGAATAAGGTGCACATAATACTTGTGTCAATGCTTAAAAGTAATTTTACCTATTTCACCTCTGTCGAGAACGCACTTTCCTTTGCCATTTCTTGCATAACCTTCAAAACATTGACATCCAACAGTGCACGGATAATTGTCCGCAGTGTCTGTTGTGACCGCACAGTTCTCGTAATATTCATTTTGACCTCTACAGTTTGTATCTGTTGAAAATAAAATTAATAAAAAGAAAGATTGTCTAAAACTATATCTATACTTTAAAGTAGCATTACTAATAAAGCCACCACTTTCTTTGGAAATAAAATTTGATAGTGTAAAGATGCGACCAATTACCCTGTAAGAATTATCTTAGATACACACTCATAATAACAAAATGCATTTCAATTAAATTATGAATGGAAATATTTAATCAGTAATTTTTTTAAAATTTAATGTTTAAAAATATTGTTCAACATTACTTACTATTTTTTTCTGGGCAATAATTGATTGGAACACAATCTCCATCGTTATTTCGCAAATAGCCATCCTTACAAACGCACCCTTCTAAACAATATTCTTCGGCTATGTCGATACAAAGGTCAGGCCATCGTAGTTGCGAACAGTTGCGCCTGCCGCAACCACCGTTAACACAATCAGAATAAAATTCGTTCGGGCCACACGCTGAAAAAAATCAAGTGTTCTCTATGCAGTGTGATATTTCTAAAAGTTTATTTTCACTGCCTGTTGCCGAAACGAACTAATGTCGGAAATTTTAATGATTACGTCTGATACTTATCAATCGCATGTGTCAGGTACTTCTACACCACACGTTTAATTTAGATTTTTTTTTGTTAGGTAATTAAACGTATTGTTTTTTTTTTATAATGAACGTGCTTATTCCGCTTGTCCGAACATTGCATTGAGCGGTCGGCACTTCAGTTCTTTGTAAATTATCGTAAGCTAGCGCTTTAAATTGAACTCACAGGGCAAATTATTCAACTTTTAAATTTAATGCTTATTTCAGCACTTAAGTTAAAAAGAAAAATTGCAAAGATAAAACTGTTGAAATATTTTGCGACAGTTTAATTCACATATTTCAAGTAACATAAATTAATATTCAACAGATATCACATAACTATCGTTTTAACTAAAAGTTGTGTCTTAATCCATTTTCAACCAATCATTATCGATATCAGATTAAGGTGCACATAATACTTGTGTCAATGCTTAAAAGTAATTTTACCTATTTCACCTCTGTCGAGAACGCACTTTCCTTTGCCATTTCTTGCATAACCTTCAAAACATTGACATCCAACAGTGCACGGATAATTGTCCGCAGTGTCTGTTGTGACCGCACAGTTCTCGTAATATTCATTTTGACCTCTACAGTTTGTATCTGTTGAAAATAAAATTAATAAAAAGAAAGATTGTCTAAAACTATATCTATGCTATAAAGTAGCATTACTAATAAAGCCACCACTTTCTTTGGAAATAAAATTTGATAGTGTAAAGATGCGACCAATTACCCTGTAAGAATTATCTTAGATACAGACTCATAATAACAAAATGCATTTCAATTAAATTATGAATGGAAATATTTAATCAGTAATTTTTTAAAAATTTAATTTTAAAAATATTGTTCAACATTACTTACTATTTTTTTTCTGGGCAATAATTGATTGGAACACAATCTCCATCGTTATTTCGCAAATAGCCATCCTTACAAACGCACCCTTCTAAACAATATTCTTCGGCTATGTCGATACAAAGGTCAGGCCATCGTAGTTGCGAACAGTTGCGCCTGCCGCAACCACCGTTAACACAATCAGAATAAAATTCGTCCGGGCCACACGCTGAAAAAAATTAATAAGTTTTCTCTATGCACTGCATTACTTCCAAAATTTTATTTTCATTGCCTGTTGCGGAAAATCACAAAATGTCAGAAAATTAATGGTTAAAACAATTATAAAAGAAATTTATTAACAAAATTTGACGGTGACAGCAGAAAAATTGGGGCAATTATTAATATTGGGCTTGGAAAGATAAAAAATGACGTTGACGAAGTGTTTTTCAAACATTTTGGTAAAACACAATAAATAGAAGAAATATATACAAATTTTTCTCTCGGTGAAAAACACTGCAATTAAACATCATTCTCAAACAATTTTCTTGGATAAGGGCTCATATACTATAATACACAACCCCAAGTAATGTCATATTCCGATATTAACCGGTTTCGTCACGTGATATAGAAAAGAAAATTAGATAATTTAAATGTTCAAAATCTGAGGTTCAGGTATTGACTGAAGTAACATGTTTGTCCCATTTTGGGAAAAATATCAATACCTATGTCCCCAATATCTAAATTTGTGTGTTCCGACAGTAGAATCGATTGCTTTATGTTAAGAATCATATTAAAAATAACTTTAAACATTTAATTTAAAAACACCAGGATATGAAAGTATATTAATTCCATTTAATAAAAGCTAATAATTCATAATGGCGTTTTATTTTTAGTGACTGTTTACTCTGGGCCCAAATTCTCATACAAATTGGACAATTCTCTTTAATACTTCAAAAAAAGCTTTGTTAAAAATATGCATTTTGCAAATTCTATAAAAAATTAGACCATGTTAGTTGCAAATTTTACTTAAAGCATTTAAATATTTTCGTATAACACTAAACTTACGATTTTCATTTTGCGCTCTTTGACATTGGGAACTAAATGATTTTGGAATCGAATAGTCATTGCTAGCAGCATCTAAAGGTCGGAAAAAAGTTTTTTTTTCGTTATTTTCTATACTGAAATACCGACAAATTTATTGTTTACAAAGTTTATGAAAGTTGTCAGCTCATATCAACAAAATCATTAATTAACATTATGGATAAAATCTACCATGGTAAAGATGCAATTATCTGAATGTAAATTAAATTGGTCCATATATTTGACAGAAATATTGCATACCTGAGGAATGCGCAGCAATTAAGAAGCCAATCCCAAGTTGTAACATGTAAAGTGTTTTTAGCATCGTATCTATTTAACAGGTACATTTTTTTTATAACCTTAGCTTACTTATATAGCGAATCGTGCACTTGTTATAACATTGTGTATCACCAAGCAATTATTTATTCAGTAATTCCTAAAGCCGTTGTCGCTTTATTGACACTGTTATTTGTTTTATGTGTATTTATCATATTAGTTTCATTAAGAAACCCAAACAGACGTAGATAAAAGATCAACTTAACAATAGTTTAATGATATTGCCAAATTTATCAGTTTTTATTTCTTTAATTTAAGTTACTCGTGTCGTTTATTTTTCCTGCAAATTTTATATCTTATAATTTATATAATTGGCTACTTTCAGTAATTAACATAGACCATGTATTTTGTCACAATGAAGTACACGATAAATCTATCTTGAATTAATCTGAGCTGTGATCACTTTGGTTTAAAATTTTCAATTAATGACAAATTTGCAACAAGCAAACTTAATATCAATTGTACATACATCAGTCACTACTATAAGATATTCAGTATGTTAATTAATGTAAGATATTCAGTGAACCTATAAAACTGGTCATAGATAATACTCCGATAACTTCAAAAGTTTTTAAGTCTATAAATCTTAAAAATACAGGGGATTTATGGAACATGTCCATAAAATTAATGACACAATAATGGCATAATGCGCCACATTTGACATATACAGGAAGGCTTTTTAAGTGTATCCATTTTTTTATTAAATATTTAAAATTACTCGTAATTAATTAAATACATTCATCTGAACTTATCTCAAAAAGTGCTTGATTTATGGGCAATGGAATGGAATGGCAATTTTTTTTGAAAAACAAAGTTTGTTTTATTTCAATAAATGATTATACTACCGAGTCTGAACCTCCTGTGTGAATTTGGCCACCTTTAGAAAAGCCACCCTGTATTTTAATAACTATATAGATTCTGGAATATTTCCAGGTCTTATAAAATTTATTAAGAAAATACCCGTCTTCAAAAAAGGGGATAAAATGATCCAGGCAACAAGCTAGATTATTATGGCATTCGCGGCATCGCCCACAATCTCATTGCCTCTTACCTTAGTAACAGAATTCAAAAACTATCTTTAAAAGATGTTAATTCCTCAGAATCCCCTATAAAAATGAGTTTCCCACAAGGATGAACCTTAGGTCCATTATTATTTTTAGTATATATAAATGATCTATCCTTTTATGCCAGTGAGTCGTGTGATGTTGTACTGTTTGCTAACAAAACATCGCCCATTTTTAAGATTGGCTGAAATGTATTAAATTACGACGAGGTGAATAGTGCACTTTCGCATATTATACACTATTATACCATTAATAATATGGTAGTAAATGTCAAAAACTAAATGTATCTTGTGGTCGTCCGGACACTTTGGTTTCAATTATGAATTAAAGGCGATTGTGGAAGCTGATGATACTCAATCTACAGCCAAGCTAGCATCTGCTTTTGATGTTAGCAAAACAATATTGGTCCATTTACGACAAATTGACCAGGTAAAAAAGCTTCCATGCGCCACGAAGGTGGATGCCCCACGAACTTAACGATCGCCAGAGTAATGTACACGTCGTGACCTGCCTCGCATTGATCAATAGGCACAGAAATGAAGTAATATTGAACTTAATTCTTACCCCTAGAAAGGTAATGGTCACTGTTTGGCGGGCTAGTGCTAGTGTGATTCATCGCTTTTTACAAAACGGTAACATAACGGTGTTCTTCTCGTTTCGTAATAAACGTACTTCATACGAGCAATCTATTAAGATGACTTTGGCAGATATCGCGATTTTACAGTTACTCATTATTTTTGCGGGACAGTGTATAAAACTAAAACCATAACTTCATATATTTAATGTCTTATTTTATACACGCGGCACGGTATCTTGATAAAATGTAGAACGTGCCACGACATTTCTTTTTATTTCATATCTTCGTTTATTGTTGTGATGACTCTGTGTCGCAGTTGTTAGTTGCAATGGTAGCTTAGCAAGGACGAAATACTTTTAAATGTATATTATTTTTAAAAGTTCGATTCACATATAATGTGTAGCACAACGGTTGTGGATAAAAATGTCTTATCATTCGATGATGATTTAGTTCACAGTAACTTAAACTTCTGCGATATGAACGCGTTAACAACGGTAAATGCAACTAATGCACTCGGACGCACCACCTATCAAGAGCTATACCTATAGTTTTTAAGCAAAGTGTAATTAAATATTTATAGTGCAAATGTCGATGACTCCGTGGCGCAGTTCCCAAGACATTGGCTGCGGCGTTCGGGGTCGTGGGTTCGATTCCGACACGGGATAATTATTTGTGTGACCCACAGATACTTGTTTCGCATCTGGTTGTTTGTCCACGTGAAATTTTTGTTTGCAAAACGTCCTTATAACACAGGATAAGGTGATTCTGTGTTATAAGGACCTGTTTTTCTAGTGTCTGATTGTTTATATATGTATAACATGTATTTATTTACAAAAAAAAAGTATGTTTATCAGTTTTCTAGTACCCATAGTACAAGCTTTGCTTAGTTTGGGACTAGTGAATGTAAAATGTGTCCTAAAATATTTATATTATATTATATCCTAAAGAAGGGCTACGTTTTTTAAAAAAAATGTCTGCATTTTTGATAAAAGATTAAAACTTGAAGAAAATTAACGAGTAGGTATTGCTTAAATACGCAAGAGCAATATTGCCATAATCTAACTAGTATTGAACTTGAAGTGCTTTTCTATGATTTCTCACAATCTGTTTGCAATGAAATAAAAATTTCCTAAAATCTTAGGCAAGGTACAAGGAAACAAATAATGTATTTTCTGCCACCTCGGTGACTGTATGATTTACAAATTTATCAACTCTCCGCTGTATTTATCCATTGTTAAATTATATACGATGACAATTCAACGTTTACAAAGCCAGTATTTTTAATCAAATTCAAAACTGTCAGGATTTTCAAGTTTTTAACTATAATGTTTTAGTTTTTATTTATGCTTTCATACTAAATCAATATAATAATATTATTCAATAAAGTAAAATTCTCATAAAGCAATATTTTTTTAATACAGAAGAATTCCGAATTCCTAAAAATTTATGTAGTGGTATTTTTAGTGCTTTTCGGCATTTTTACTGAGTCTTTATTATCTGTTTCTTCATCTATTTTGGCAATTTGAAGAATGTAATGTGATAAAGCATTTAAAAATTTGTAGAAAAATGACCGAATTTTTTTTTGATCCTCACTCATTATCGCCAGCAGATTACTTCGGTGAGGGCATTTCGAGTTGATTAAGAACTTAAACAGGGTGGCTTTTGTAAAGGTGCCCAAATTCACACAGGAGGTTCAAACTTTTTTTTTCTATTCCCTAAGAAACAGAACTTGTTGACAATGCGGTAGTCATTCATAAATGCGTCGTCATGAAACGAACTTGTATGCGTGATAGTTATTATGATTGCGTGTAAAATAAATGAGTTGCTCATAAATCACGCACTTTTTGAGATAAGTTCAAATGAATGTAATTAATTAATTACGAGTGATTTTAAATATTTATAATTTTTATGTAACATTATTTATGTCTAATGTTTAATAAAAAAATGGATACACTTAGAAAAGCCTCCCTGTATAACGGTTTCTAATTCTTCACTAATCACTATCAATGGTACGTTGTATATTTCTTCTGAGAATGTATATAAATGTTACGCGCATATGTTTAAATTTAAATTTAACTCAACTGAGAATACCTTGAAGAAAGAGTTAAAGAAACGATGGGCCAGACACATTTGCCAACATAAGAAAGAAACCTTCATTTTGAATAGGATGCACGTAGTAAAATCTACCTATAGCAGTTTCTTTAAATATACTAGTCTGTTCGTTGATTTGCTCTCTTCGTTTGCATTGCTTATAAGATTTTCTAATTGCAGTTTTCAAGAAAAACATAGGCAGTGTTTGTGCAATCGTGTATATTCACCGCAGAGTGAAGAAAACATTTAATGCTGTAAGCATTTACACATTTCGAGTATATTCAGGTTTCCATAAGATGTTTTTCCTTCAAGGCCAACCATGTGATAATTCAGCACTCAAAATTAATAATTTCACTGGACTCTTCGCCGCCTCTAGGATTTGAACGCAAGATGCTTAAGTAAATTTGATTTAAATTTAAAAGATTTAAAAAAGCGGCGTAACCGACACTGAGCTTTCATGGCTCAGTATTTCAAGTTTATGAGGGTTTTATACGTTTTTTCTGAGAGCTAAGGCTAATATAGAACTATCCACTGGTTGTTTATTTTGATTTAAAAGTATGATTGCTAAATGTACTATTTTTTTAATCTCTAATATCTTCTAATTGTGTGTAATTATTTTATAAAGACAGGTATTGCCATCTGTAACTGTGTTAGATGCAATTACTCTAGGATATCGCTTATACACGTAAACTGGGAAGGAAACACACAGGGAAAGAATGTTACGGTTAATGATGTAGGTTAATTTTAACACATAAACATAAAGTAACAATTACTCGTTTATTTTTTTAAATATTTAGATACGTACACATCAGCACCACTCGCCTGCATAAACTCTAAACCACGCTACTGGTACAAGGTTGAATCGAAGTTCGTCGATCGACGTAGCAACGGCGAACCCTCGAATAACAATAAAAGCTCACAACCGTTTCTCTGAAAGAGTCTCTGAATAATATCAACGCCCTGATGATAAATGCTACCTATCCGAAATCAACGAAATCTCTAATTGAACAGCTTTTATCTATTGTTCTCTTCGTTTAGGGTTTCAACCTATAAGCAGAATTCTCTGGTTGCTTATAGTTTTCGAGAAAAAAAAAATCAAAACTTGTTACTTTTCATAAAGAAATCCGCCATTTTGTGGTTGACATGTTAAAAGTAAAGCTACTAAAGGAACTTTTTTAAAAATACTAAAAGTGCTGTCACTTTGACGTTTCTTCGTCCTTGGTTTATTTATAACATTGTAACATTTAAAAACCTTCCGTTGTTCCATAATTAAAACATT